TACTTAAATTATGTTGGTACTTTGAATTATGCTTAGGATATATTTTTCGATTTATGACTTGGAACTTCTTTTTGAAAAGTTTAGGACTTAAAACTTAGTTATTTTGTTCTTATTTTATTTCATCATCATATTCTTTTCTTGAAATTGAGTTAAAATTTATTGAGAAAAATAACTTAGATGATTAATTAGGTGTGATTAAAAAAATCTAATTACTATTTAGTTATTCTAATATTAAGATAGGTAGCATAATATACAATTTTTTTTTTAAAGTTCAACACACAAAAATCTACTAAAGGGTAGGTAAGTAAATTTATAACAGTTTATTTTAATTCTGAGTGTAAGTAAACACATGAATAGGATTGAGATTGATTCCAATTCCGATTCCTGGAACCTAAGTAAACAACTTATTTTGACTCCGATTTCTGACTCCAATTCCTACCCACTCCGATTGATGTCCACTCCGATTACGGATAAGTAAACATGTCCTCCATGGATTCTGAATTACTCACAAGTGATGGCGAAGATGATTACAGAGACAAGTTGCTCGTAGGTCTATGGAACCGGCCATACTTGTCTTCAAGTTCAACTACAAATGATGTTTTCGGTGATGAATCAAGGTTTGTGATTTTTGTAATTGCTCTTTGGTCTGATGTATATATATATATATATATATATATATATATATATATTAGTTTTTAGTTTTTGTTATCAACTATTTCGTAATCTATTTTTCTTTTATTTTAAGGGAGATCTTTACGTAAAGAAAACTATGAGTAGTTTCTTTTATATTTGCTCATTAAATTCATTCTCGTTTTTCTTTAAAAAAAAAAAAATCTTGTTGCATGCGAGAATCATAAGTTTCTTTCACTGTAGTAGTCGCTTTATATTATTATTATTGTTGTTGTTGATCTTATTATTATTAAGAATTCGGCCGCCTTTATTATTGATTGCATGGTTAATCATCTTTTTTCTTTACCGTTTTATGATTTTAATTTGATGGTAGTATCATTAATGGATTATTTGCCTTAAACATTTGATACTATGATATACTTATTGATATTTTGTTATGTTGGGGAATCACACACACATACATGTACATACATATATATATATATATATATATAGATTACTTTTTATTGTTTCGACTTAGCCAACCACTGGTTATGAACACAAAAAATTTCTTTAAAAGCTTTAAAGCAACATTATGAGGATGTCCCTCTAAACACGGAAGTTGCGGAGCCTTAGGTAAAGGCGTATACTATCAGCGCAAATCTCTCCAACCACAAGCAAGTTTAAATTTTATAGTTTGTATTTTAAATCTTGTATTCTGAATCTATTAGAATCTGCTAGATATTGTCGTTGTTATTTATCCTTATCTTTTTGTTACTTTGTTCCACACTCGTAGGGTGGAACTAATTGATGTACTCAAACTGTATATATTCTCATCATTACGATCAATACAAGAGAAGTCGAAATTCATTCATTCACTCAAAACCTCTTTATGGTATCAGAGCCCCCACTTGCCATAAGCGAGCTTCACAAAACCAAACACCAAAACCAATCCATGGCCAACAATACCATTGTTGCTCTGCAGCCACCAAACCAGGTAGTACTGGCTATTAATGCAGCCACACAACTCCCATTGAAACTGACCAAGCTCAATTATCCATTATGGCGAGTGCAGTACCAAGCCTTATTGTTTTGGATATGACCTTGAAGGCTATATTGATGGCTCATTTCCATGTCCGTCACCAACCATAACCAACCCCGATGACAACTCAGTCACACCTAATCCTGCATATCGTCTATGGAAAAGGCATGATAGTCTCCTTTTTCATGCTATGCTAGCATCTTTATCCGACAGTATTGTCCCTCTTATTACTTCTGTCAAATCAGCCGCTGAAGCCCTGGAGTCGATTGGAAAGAACTTATGCATGCAAATCTCACACTCGAGTCATGGGCCTCCGAGAAATTCTTGCCAACACCACCACGGATAACAATCGTTTCGGCAACAAAGACCGGCGATAGAGTTTCCGCAAAGTATTTTCTTCCACTCTTGTCTTAAAATACATAAACACGTATGCATGGGGCTTGCACTGCTTAGCTGTCTGCACTGCGAAATAGAGATGGTTGAGCAGGGTAATCAAAACCCTCTTTAATTTTTGTTGCAATAGTAAGGGGATCATTTGAATTCACTCTATTTTGATTTTATATTTATGAATCAACTAATATAGCAATGTTAATATCCTTGTATCGATTAAATACTTTGATTTTGCACAATATGTTGACATTGGCATTGTCTTTTTGTCTACTTCAGTTGTTGTGTTAGAGCATTTCCTAGACAGTTTGCAAGAGATGCCAAAAAGAGCCAACATTTTGAGAACAAACTCTCTTCCATTTCTTTTGGCCGGATGAAGATACTCCTGAAAAGGTCAAGTAAGACAGCACAAAGATTAGGACAAAAAAAGAGCGCGACGAGTACTTTGTAAGTGTTGAAGAGGTCCGTGTATTTTATATTTTTATTTTCCTTTGAAATACTTGATATTCAATCATGTGTCAATCATTTCTTTCTTTTGAAAATATTCTTGCCGATTGAGTTTTGAGCCATACAAAAGTCGATTTAGTTTGGGATTCAACTATAAACAATTGGGTCCAATGATTTTCTCTGGGACACCATTGCTACTATTTGATTGTGCATGGTGGCTTAGGCTTGATACTGTCTTTAGGCATTAGGCTTAAAATAGGAGGATCTGAAGCCCTTGCCACCTTTTGAGATTATCCAAATCCATATGTTATTGCTATATGTTATTGCTGTTAAAAGTGTTGGGAAAGCAGATTCCTATATGTTATTGCTGTTGGTTATTTTTTCCTTTCTTTTTAATGTTTTGGCCATTGATACGCATTTTATTGAAATGTTTCATTTTTTTTAGACAATACTTTTCATTCTATCTTTCATTTAATGTATAGTGTTTGAAAAAAGAGGCTGTAATGGTGATTCTCTTATTGTCATAACTTATTATGCAGTGATTGAAGAAAGAGGCTCTGATGGTAGTTTTATGTAGGTCGTCGATGAACTTTTTCAAAAGTTTCGCGTAGTTTTACTCGTTCAGGTTTTAGTGATGTATTATTCTTGGTTGAGCAAGGTAATTAGTTATTTTTTGATGTTTGATCTTTTATTATGCCCTTTTTCTTTTTCTTTTTGTTTCTTTTTTTCTAAGATAGTATGCTCTTTTTCTAATTGACAGTTAATGTGGTTGTTGTCGGGTTTGCTGAGCGTGGAGATCATGAAAGAAATTTGGCTGAAGGATTTGATATTTAAGAACCTGACTACTCACTTTTCAATTCTATGAACACCAAGTCTCCAACTAATATTCTAACTGCAAAACAGTTTGGTTGTCCTCAACCCTTCATGAGCGATGGTGAAGATGAAGTCAGAAACAAATGACTACGTGTCCTCAAGTTCAACTACAAATAATAGTTTCGGTGATCAATCAAGCTATGTGATAATTTTAATCAGTTTTTTTGTTTTTTTTAACCCATATTTATCTGTAAATCCACATTGTAAAACGCAGGATTTCCCCGGAGCAGGTGAAAACAAAGAAGAAAAGGAAGCAGAAAAAGAAAATGATGATGCAAAACATAAAAAGGAAGATCAATATCTTGTACTTTCCCAGCAAAGCAGAACTTTTGAGATGTTTCTTGACGTTTGTTTCATGTATTCGTCCATGATTCTGAATCATAATTCATAATTCTTTATAGTATTTTTCTCTCACAAAAAACACACGTAAAATGAGAATAACTATAAATTATAATTCTGAATCCATAAAATAAACGTCCAATATGTTCCGCATTGCACCACAGGATAAACTTGGACTATTGCATTTTTGATACTTTGATTCCTTTCAGAAACGAAACAGTCTCTAGACTGTCAGGTATTACCTCATTGAACTTCTAAAAACCAAGTCCACAACATGTTGTTCTCAGTGTCACCCAAACCCTGCGCGATTGGATTACTGTGAAACTCACTATCTTGTGTGGTTGCAATTATCAACACCTTCTTGTATTTGTTTTTGATCCAATCTCCATTTATACTAATAAATTTTCTCATGTATTGGAACCCCCTTATTGCTGCTAGTAAAGCAAGTACATGAGTTTGTTCTCTGAATCAACCTCGATGTGTGTAACCGTACCTGGATTTTTCTTTTCAAGCATGTGACAATATGACGGAAGCATCGCAAAAATTTGTTGCGGCGTCCTTCTTACCAAATCCTGTGCAAATTTATCTCCTCTCCATGCCTTCTAATAACTAACTTGAACCTTCAATTCTTCACTCATGAATCCCACGAGAATATTTAAGCTACGTTTGATTGATGTATTCGTGTCATGATTTAAATCATAATTTGTAACTCGGTATAATATTTTTTCTCATAAAAAACACACATAAATCGAGAATGATTTTGAATCTATGAACTAAATGTCCACTTAAATTGTGCAGCTCCTTATTGGCCTTAAAGTACCCCTTTAAGCGAGCTTTAATTATATTGTTAGATGCTTGTCTATAATTGATTGAATACATCATCGAGCGAGTATGAACACCATTATATTATCAAACGACAAAAAAAAACTTATTTTTTCGTACCCTAATAATCCTACCTTAGAATTCATATTAAATATTTAAAGAAAGAAAGGAATTCTGATTAAAAAAAAAAAGAGTTAATTATGTGCATTGTGCAAGGGATGAAAACAATATTCACAAGTTACATAAATTTATAAAACAACTCATAATAATATTCGTACCTTTTTCTTAACCACCTTTAGAATTAATTATATAAATTCATAAGAAAAATAAGTTACACAAATTGATAACCATTCACATGAAAAAGATATCTCTAAAGATAAAATGATTATTAATTTTTGACATATCCTAGTCAGGTAAAATATATAAAAGCGATCAATTTGTGCTTTCTCAAAAAATTAACAACAATTTTAAAACTTGACAGAAAATCCCAACAGAAACACAAAAGAATCACCCACGATAATAGCCACTAGTAGTAGAATTTAACAAGAAATTCTGCGACTTCCTCTCGTAGTAGTAGTCATTCTTGGCAGAGTCATCAGCAGAGAAGATCATAACCCCGTTGACGCCAAACCCCTCGGTCTCCAACAACTGCAGTGCCTCAAAAAACGCATCCCCTTGGATCCCTCGCCCGTCCACCTCGTAGCTTGGTAGTAGCTTCTCAGCATCGAACTGCTCTGCCCGAACCCTAAACGCCGCCAAATACCCCGTCGGGCTCCGAACCTTGTCGGTGTAGAACTGGTAATTCACGAAATCGATCACTTCTCCGTACCGATTGAAAAGCTCAATGTACGGACCAACCGTCGTGTAGAATGGCGCGATTGTCGCGACTGAGATCACGCGTCGATTCTTTAGTCGGGAGATTAGTTCACCGATACAGTACGCGAAGGTCGAGTTCCTCGGGAAGTTCTCGTAATCGATGTCGATTCCATCGAGGTGGTAGGTTTTGGCTATGGCGGTAAGGGAGGAGACGGCATTGGAGATCCAACGATCGGGATCGGGCGGATTGTACCAACGGAGGACTTTGTCACCGAGGCTCCACCCGGAAAGGCTGGCGAGGGCTCTGACATTTGGGTGTTGGGCTTTGATCTGTGCTACGGATTTTGGGGTTAGGGTTGAGGCCCAATAGGGGGAAAATTTGCCGTTGTTAGCCTTTCCGGATGGGGTGGCGTCGATAGCGAAGCTGAGGATGAAGTGGAAGGAGATGTCTGGGGAGAGTATTGGGACGGAGCTGAGTTTTACTGGGACGCCTGTGGCTCCTATGTACTCCATCATCACTTTTCCATCTGGATCATGAACAAGTTTTTATTTAATCACGAAGAAAAATGGGAAAATTATATTAGATTTTGTCAATGAAAAAGAAAACAAAGAAATTAAAGTTTTGAAAAAAACTCATTTGGTTAATTTGAGGCAAAACATTTAAAAAGTCTTTTTTTTTTTTTTTTGGTTAAAGTAAAATAACATCTGAATGATTAGCAAAAGGAACATTGAATAACGAAACCAAAATGGAACAAAGCAACGGAGGCAACATATTTTTGAAGAAAGCACATATTCTATCCTTGACGTAGAATTTCAAAGTGGTATCCGAACACCAACTCATCAACTTCAGGAGCTTAATTTGAATAAAAGATTAATTTATTAAGTATTAAGTATTTATGTATATAAATTATTTCTAAACTATTTTACATTCTCATTTACTTGCTAACACACGTCCACTTTTTTCAACATTGAGTTAGCTTTTTTTTTGAATTTTTTTGAATTTTTGCATTTGTGAATTCCTAAAAGTAACAAAAAAACAAATAGCTTGGAATGTGGTCATATTTTCTCATCAATTCGCTAAAAGGTGCCTTTTTAATTAAAAAAAAGGTGGTTTTTCTTAATTTGGTTGAATTAGAGTTAATATCCTTCGATTTTTGAACTCTCACTAACACTCCATCTCCGTTTGGTAGAAAGGAAAGAAAAGAGAATGGAAAGAAAACATATAAAAGAAAAAAAATATGAATAAAATGAATGAAGTTGGTTTTCCTTTTAGTGTTTGGTATAATGAGAGGAAAAAAACATGTAATAACCTAAATTACTATTTTATTAATTTTTTAATATTAATTTAGATTTTAAAATAGAGATACAAAAATAAATTTAGCTATTAATGAGTGGATTTGAGTTTTTCTCTCACATAAAAAATGGTGGGCCCCACAATAAATTTTTTTTCCTCCTCTTTTTCTTCTTACCAAACAACCAATTTTATCATTTTCCATCCGATAATCATTCTGCTAACTTCCTTTCACTTTTCCATCATTTCACTTTTCCATTATATCAAACATAGTGAAGTGAGGCCTATTAATCCATTATGGCCTCGTTCATTTCACCGATTCAAGTTTTCAGTTTTAAGTTTCTACAGTAAAAAGCTCTCAGAAAATGTCACATCTAACTTTTGCTGCTATAGTGAAAAGCTCTCTGAAAATGTCACATCTTAGCTCGAATTGAAAACTTGAATCCACAAAGTGAACGAGGCCTATATATTTTTTACATCCCAACTCAACCTGAGTCGGATGTTTAGTATCCCATATATATATTGCAATGATTTTTGGAAAAAGAGAGATTTTACGAGTAAACCAAAAATTTCATTTTTATGGCTTGTTAATTTAAGTTTTTGGAGCAACATACGAAGACAATGTATAAGCGAAAGAAATCATAAAAACCTTGCACTCTAATTCAAAGGAATAACATGCATATTAAGCCATTAAATCTAACATGTCCTTAATTTAATATTTATTGATGTCTAAACACTTTATAATAACTGACAAGAAGAGAGATTTAATACCAGAAAATTGCAGAAAGGCGAGAGCAACCGCGGCGACGTGAAGGAGAATGAGAGGAGATTTGGTCATACTCATCACTGCTTTGGCTGATTGAATGAATATGAAAATCAAGTAATTATTGTTACCTTTATATAATTTATATATCTGAGCATTGCTATTTATACATGTATATTGTGTAAAGCCGGCCTAAAAGGATTAATTAAGACAATGTGAAATTGAATAAGCCGAATTGAGCTAAAGTTTAAAATGGTTATTCGACAATTTATGAAGGACACAGGAAGTTTCTTTGGTTTAGTCAGAATAATCATTTGGTTTATTGTTGTGACAATATCAAGGCTCTTCATACACTCTCATTTATTTTCTAGCCGTCCATGACTAAATCATCAAGGTTGAATGGTAGTATTTAAAAGATCATCATTTCAGCTGCTATATGCAGTTCCTTTTCTTTTAAAACTTAAAAAGTCATTTTTAGACCATCTCTAATCAAACGTTGTATTTAACACAAAAAAATGTGGAAAATTTCATGTTCAATATGTTATTTCCATGCGTGTTCGATGCATAATGATGTTTCAAATGCTATAGTTTGCCATAATTATTAAGATTTAAAACTTGTAAAAGTAAACTTGTAATTTTAGAATAAATCTTCCCTGAATTATGACTAATATAACAATTTACCTTTCGATTTTCAAAACGTACTGTCTGATCTCCAAAACTATGAATCATTAACAAAAAAAACTCCTTACGTTAGTGTTTCTAACAAAAAATTGGCTAATATTACCCGTATTTTCGTAATCCTGCATGTTCTTAAAAAATTAGAAATCAAAACTTTCAATTTAATTTAATTTTCTCAATAAATTAGAAGAGTACAATTAAAAATTTTGTTTAATTATTTTGTTCTATTTACTATCATATTGAATGAAAATTAAAATATGGATTTTAAAAAATATAAATTTAAGAAGCAAGGGTAGAAGAGTAATTGTACTCTAAATTGGTTAGCGACAATCAATATTTGTGTGACATGTGGCAGTTATGTTATAAACATTAACGGAATGAGCATTTTTGTTAACGATTCATAATTCGGGGGAATTGATGTTAGGTTTTAAAGATCGGTAGGTAAAATGTTACACATGTCATAATTCAGGGAAATTTTTGTAATTCATCTAAAAAAAAATATCAATGATTCAATGATTAAATGGAAAGGTTAATAAATCAACCAATAATAATCAAATGTTAAAATTTAGCATATGTTATACTTAGTATCGAATTTACACTAAGTATAACATGTCGAATTTAGTATCCAAAACAACATTATATTAGAGAGTAATTCTTCTAGTCAAATGTTAAAATTTGTCACACTAATTTGACACACTGGAGATGCTAATGTCAATGTAATGCTATAGCGTAAACATAAAAAGTTAGAAAATAATATATGCGATTTATTTATAATTTTATATCCATTGATCTATTACTCAATAAATAATCGATTTATAAAATAAATCGATTGAAGTTCAATTTATTAAAATAAACATGGCCATTTAATTTCTGGCCGTGAGTACACTGAGTAGGCCAGTAGCTTCAGCCGGCCACTACAATTTCCATAAACTATAAAACACAATATCAATAAACAATATGATACAGGTGCATTTATGGTGAAGACAATTTTGCTTCACCGGAAGGTTCAATGTTAATTTGCAGTGTCACACGCCGTAAATTTTTATGCTTGGGTGCACAAATTTAACCGTTAAAAAATTAATCCAACAATTAAAAATAACAGTTTTTACGGACAGAGTAAAATACCCATCTTCACCATCAAGATTTCTATGCGAAAATGGAATAGCTTAATTTCTAAGATTTTATGTGCTTGTATTTTAAAAGAAGGGGCTGAGATGAAGATTAAGAGCCCGTTTGGTTCATGGATTAGAACTATGAGATTAAAATTATTTTTAATTTACGTGTATTTTTTATGAGAAAAAATATTATAACAAATCATGAATCATGATTCTAATCAAAGAACGAATCCTCCAACCAAACGGGACCTAAGTCATAGTTTAGAGTGCCGCATTGGTCAAATGTTGGAATGCAAGTACAATGGAAAAGCGGCCAAATGTAACATAATAACATGTTTTGAATCTTTGGTACGGCTACGCGATATGGCCAGAACAGAACACAACCAGACAAACATTGTTTTTTTTTTCTTTTTCTTTTTGGTAGAAATAGACAAACATTGTTTAGTTTAGTTTGACTAAACCAAATGAAAACGTTTCGTATGTAAAATCAAAAAAAGGTTAGTGCCATTAGGTCCCGTTTATTTCGTTAATTCGAGTTTAGAATTCAAATTTTTTTACAGTAAAAAACTCTCACAAATAATCACATTTAACTTTTTTGCTACAGTAAAAAATTCTCACATAAAGTCACATCTCAACTCGAATCAACGAACTAAACGGACCCTAAATTTATCAAATCAAATTGATTTTCTGACTTCATTTTTTCCCCCATTTTTGCTATATTTGCCAACTTCGGCTAATCCATCACCATCAACCCCACCAGACAAGAAGGCCAAAATTAGAACAGATAGCAGGAATGAACAATGAGAGATAAAATTAACGCCAAAGCTTAGCAATAGTTTCCACTAAAAAAAATAACCGACTGGTTTACATTTCTCAAAAAAAAATATTTTGCATGAATCAGAACAAAATTGAATACCCAGCCTTTAATCTGCATAAACCTGTACATTTGTCATTCTGACTGCTTTTTCGAAGAACATATACACTCGGGGTAAGGATTTTCATAGAAAGATTCTTCCGTCTTGAAGCGTCCTCGACCTTTTATTCCTGGCAATGGACCATATCTCTTCCTTGGAGCTCCTTGCCTGCACAGTAAAGGGAAATCCCAAGTGCTTATTCTTCCTCAAAACTTGTTCCAATGTTGTCTTTGAACAAAGCATATTGCAGCTTTTTTTTTTTTTTTGCTTCTTTTAATTTAAATATTTAATATAAACATCACGGTTTGACAAGTCTAGAGATCTTAATAGTCTTAGTTTTGCTGAAAAGTTACCTGTTCGAGTGCATCCGCTGCACAAGATGAGGCAATGAAGCTTCTTCTAGCTTTCCATTGTTAAGCTTGTCAAAGATTTCAACAAGTCCTTTCCTGCGAACAGATTTGATAAGCACAGAGACCGGGTGTACCAAAAATTCTTCGTAAACTATGAGGAATCTTATTACATGGATTACTCAGAGTGGAAAACAAGAAACTAAAACAAGGAAATAATAATAATTCCTCAAATTTGCAGATGATCTTTTGTAGCAATGCGATCGGTTCCACAGAAAAAGGAAACGGCTTCACAAATTCAATTTTAAAATTTGAAAGATGTTAGACGAAGCGGCAAAAGCTAATTCATCATGTTGACGATCCCTAGGACTACTATTATAACTTGTGTGTGTAAGGACAACCTGGTATGACAAAATAACCCACTGACACACGTTTCCTACTAGAAACATGAAAATAGAGAACTGAAACAAGCAAAAAGCTTCAATGCAAGCCAAAAGATTTCAAGCAAACAAATATCTATATTTTGAACATACTAAAACGAATGTACTGGAAAGACCAAATAAACGCTTGTATGGCAATGAAATCATGGTTTTATGTGGGATTTTCTGAATTCTCATGAAGGCAAGCATGTAGAAGGTGAACCACAGTAATAACCAGTGCAACAAATTCAGACGCTTGAGCTTTCGTGTTCAATTTAAACTAATAAATGACACCCGGTTCACAAACTAATTAGTAGTTCCGACCTATCTGGAGAAATTGTCTTGTGGTGACCTAGAAATCTGCGGTGCCCCTCAACAGCTCTTGCCATGTTACCAGAATATGATGGAACAAACACATCGCTCTCTACGGAAATAACGTAATCAAGAGCAGCAGTCTGAGATGCATGATTAGCAAAGGCTCTCAGCTCATCCTTGGTAGCAACTGTTTCCTGCCACCAATCCAACTAAAAGGTCATAAATGAAGCTTATGGGAAGTTCAAAACTATCAAGTTGCTTTGTCAACGCAATAAACAAACAAAATTATTTAAAACCTTGAAAATGATATTTGGGAAGCGGGATTTGAGCTCTAAAAGGTAACTATCGCCACCATAGATTTCTCCAGCTGCGATATAAATTTGTGTTGATGAAGAATAGCCAAGAGCTCGAAGAAATATCCCCACCTCCTTGGGAGTTAATGGACAAAAGCCTCCTGCTCTTTGCTCAGTTGAGTTTATCCTTTTAACCTTCCAATGGTTTGTGTTTTCCCTAGAAAAATAGTATAACAGATATAAGCAATAAACTGCCCAAAAAAATGCCTTAAACACAAACATAAAGATCGTTCTTCCCTAAGGAGCTCCTTGCTTCAAACAGAGCGAACAAAACAAAGACGCAATGAAGCCTCCTAAACCAAATGAAAGAATAAAAAGAAAACAAAAGGCACACACACATATCAATTCTAGTAAAGGAATACTAAAGCAGAAATGCCACAACCTCCAAAGAATTTTTGGGGTTAAAGCAAATGTCTTTAGAAGTCCTTTACAATTCTTACTTCGGAAATTTTCAACCACATTTAATTATTTCCCCTTTTAATTACATCTAATCAAGTCTTCTAAGTCTGGGGTACTTTCAGAGGTAACTAGGACGTAATTACGTCGCAACTAATTACAAATTTACACACGCATTACATAGAAGATCTTGTGTAAACAAGCATAGACGAGCATGTAAATTAATAATGTTTTGCCAGCATGTGTAAGTAACAAGAGCACAAATGGGTGGGTTTCCTAACCTATCTACCGTCCTAGGCAGAGAAGATTCTATTAAAAGTCATCTTTCAAGTTCGCCAAACAAAGAATTAAACACATCGCTTTTTTTTTTTTTTTTTTTTTTTTTTTTTTAAGTATACATAAAGAAACAGGGAACTTTATTGATTATCAAAAGGAACAAGGGGGAAAAGAGGAAGAGCTTTTCTCAAGCAACCCACTTCCAAAAGTACAGAGTGTAATTAAAATTTTGACAAAACCAAAACTGAACCCAGAAGAAAAAACACAGAGGAGAAAGGCTAAAAAAATGGGGCCCAACTCCTTACAAAATCCGAGAATAACAGCTTGCCAAAATCTTTATCCCTGCCCTAATATAAAAATCTAAAACAACGGAGATCAGGCTCAACCCTTCACCTACCACACTATTCCCACAAGTATACTTAAAGAAGTTGGCCTGTATTACACAGCACACGAACACAAAAATATAGATCTACTCACCTCATTATCTTCAGCTCCTCAGATTCAGCATCAGTCAATCCATATGTACAGCCAGTAAAAGATAGCATGTCTTTCTCATACCTCAGATGAAGAGCAATGTATCTTTCTCCACGTGATCTGAGCCGCTCCACCAGCTTCTGTGGTGTCACCGTCATGTATGCTCAGAACCTAATGTAACAGGAATTCCCATAGGAGACTACTTAAATGCATCAATATGTGTCTGGGACGGTGGAGCTTACTTGAGTTTTGAAGCCTTTTGACAGTCATTATTTACTAACAAATGTTTGACCAATCTCACTATAATGTACTTGAAAGTGTCCAAATGTTCCCAAAATCAGAAAAACTAGTAAATATGAATTAAATTTGGCTAGTCACTGGAAAGAATGAAATGCCAAAAACGAAAATTTAAACTTGGATAAATATATCTTCAGACCTTTCCAAGGCTCTCTATCGGAGGAGAGAAGCGGAGGGCTTGATATAGAGCACGACACCTTAACCTCTGAATATCAAGAGGCAAATCATTATTTGCAAGGCGAGAATCTGATTTTGCAACATGAATCACCTATACAAATTGATTTCATAAGTCATCCTAGAAGTTTAGGTAGTTGAATTGTTGAACAATATTCATGGCATACAATTTTATCCTCTAATGCATTCTATTCAAATAAGGCATTAACCACAAATTGTAAAAGATTAAAAATTAAGAAAAAATAAAAATAAAACACTCGACAATACACAACATAGTTCACTCCAAACTGGATAAAGTTGAAAATGGAATATCCTTATACAAGCCATTGAAAACAAAACTCCAAATCAAGAATCAACTTTGGCTAACACGTCATCTGACTGAATATATTTTCCTTTCATTGGATCTTAACTGGTGTGATTCAAATTGAATGAATACAATAACACTGAAATGTAGTAGCTCATTTAAAAAAATAAAATAAACAAAAATGTAGTAGCTCCATTAAACAGTTTTTTTTTCTTTTTTCTTTGATGGTTTTGGTATTGTATTCCATGCTGCTCATTAGGCAAAATACATTCTAATATTGTCATGCCATTGAACTTTTCGGGCTTTGTTCCAACAAGGCCCATGACTCCATCAGAAGAGATGGTCTAATAACTTCATAAGGTCAAATCCACTTGCATGTCATACGCACGATTTAAAACAATGGCAAGTGAAAAGAATTCTTAAGATGATTAGATTGATGAAAATAGGTGAAAAGTAGTCGGCAACAATATCCTCGAAAAGAAGTCCAGAAGCTGAAAATGCACTCATTAGAACCATGGTCTCCTACTTCAACTAAGAACTCCAATAGACGTTCACCTGATGCTTTTCTGAGGTCAGATCAACATGCACATATAAGACCACAAAACCTGAAAACTAACCTAATGGTAGTTGAAACTTTTTTCAGATAGGTCGCTGGAATTGGGAAACGCAAACCTCAGACGTGGCAAATAAACTTTAAGAACCATGCTATCCTAGTGGAAGTTCAACTAAGAAGCTGAAACGCACCTGATAGTCTTTCCATAGTTGCTTCGTCTCTTCATAGTAACCAACACTAGACCAAGAAGTGAAATGCTTCCGAGCTCGAGGAGCTGTTTCCAATTCCTTAGGAAGCTCCTTGACTATATGGATATCTCCTCTTAAGGTTTCAATGAAATGATTTTCATCAAATGTATCTGAAAATAGACTGAGAAGGTGTCCCACAATAAGAAACCTTCACTAAAACAAATAAACATTGAAAGCAAATCTTTTTAAAAAAAAAAAGGGGGAGGGGGAACCTAATTCAGGAGATGTCATGCAGGAGAAAAAAGAAAAGTTTTTCGAGTGCGCTCACCTTGAGTCATGCCAAAATGACCGTTTATCCAGTTGAGGAATGACTAAGGTCGCATTCATAATGCGTGCCACAGCCACCATGTCCGCTATCTGTCAAAATTTCAGGTTTTTAAACTTGAAACAAAATATAGAACAAGAACTGGTGTGGGTGAAGTGATGAATCCCTCAAAATAATTTTTATTAAAAAAAAAAATCTTTAAACATATGAATTAACAAAAACTCAAGTTCGTATTCCTTTCTAAATGCAATACTAACATATAAAAATAGAAAGTGATTCGACCAACACTAAACAACTAGAACTTTTCCAAATGCACAAATACTTCACCCTTCCATGACTTCACTATTTCCAAGATATTTTATAATTTTCACAACAACAACCCCCCCACGGGCCACACCCCACCCCAAACCAAGAGAGACACACACACCCAAAATAAAAAATAAAAAATAAAAAAATAAAAAATAAAAACCTGATCTTGATGAAGGCCAATCCGTTTCCCATTCGGATTGGCCTTCATCAAGGTTCCGCTCTTAGTCCTTATCTTTTCACTATCGTGACGGACGAGCTGACAAGAGAAATTCAAGATGGGAGGGATTCCTTGGTGTATGCTTTTTGTAGACGATGTAGTTTTAGTCGATGAACATCAGGAGGAAATTAACCGTAAGTTAGAACTATGGAGACATACCCTTGAGACGAAGGGATTTAAGTTAAGTAAAACGAAGACTGAGTACATGCATTGCAGGTTTAGTAATTTGAGAGATCAGAGTGATGGAATTTCTTTGGATGGTGTGGTGATTGGGGCTTCTAGGAAATTTAGGTACCTTGAGTCCATAGTGCAGTGTGAAGGGGACATAGATGAGGATACTGGACATAGGATTAAGGCGGGGTGGATTAAGTGGAAGAATGTCACGGGAGTTTTATGTGATGATAAGATGCCTATTAAGTTGAAAGGAAAATTCTATAGGACAGCAATTCGCCCAGTTATGTTATATGCTAGTGAATGTTGGGCCATCAAGAGACAACAAATATACAAGATGAGTGTGACGAAGATGCATATGTTAAGATGGATGAGTGGCCATACGAGGATGGATCGCATACGGAATGAAGTTATTCGTAGTAAAGTAAGTGTAGCACCAATAGAAGACAAGGTGCGGGAAAACCGTCTGAGGTGGTACGAGCATGTACAACGTAGATCATTAGATGCACCTGTTCGTGCTTGGGAGAACATCCAAATACCTAGTACTAGGAGAGCGAGGGATAGACTAAGAATTACTTGGGCTGACATAGTTAGGCACGACTTTCAAGATCTAGGGCTTCAGGAGGGTCTCGTGTTTAATAGAGCAGACTGAAAACGAAAAATCTATATAGCCGACCCCAATTAATTTGGGATTAAGGCTTGTATTTGTTGTTGTTGTGAATTCGGATAATACATCAATTCACAGCTAAAAAACTGGAAATTACAGAGGGAAATACATCAATATAAATACGGATTCTTATCAACTTACACCGGTGCGCATCTGATTTAGTCCTCCATTACTTTTCACAGTCATATAGCGTCCTGAATTTGTGGCAGCTGACAGGATAAGACATGGACCGCTAGTCAGAAATAGTATAGTTTGGGGAAAGAGAGACAACGTGCATGTGCTAGCACGCATGGTTGACAGCCAAAGTGAGAGGAACTATGTGATTGCATGCATGCTTACAAGTGTGTGAATGTATGTGTATATCAAATGAGTACATACATACATATGAATATATCCTCTTGACGAGACATATAAATGTAGAAATCAGAGTATTACCAAATTATTCTGCCTTTAATGAGCAGTGAATTAAAAAAAAGAAACATAAGCTCAAGTAGAATGTATATTTTTCTAAGTTCCATAAGCACTGAGCCACTGACTGCAAAACTGTGCAGCAAAATCAAATTAAGTATATTCTAATATTAATACAAGGAAGAAGTTGTAAGTCAGAGGATAAGTGTCGCATATACAAAACATACAACTCTTAGTTTTTTACCTTTATATTTAGCAGTTGGCTTGATACATGGGTGCAAACCATGGCTAAAAGGAGCATGCCAGAGTTGCCCTTCTATAATTTGCGGAGTTTCCTTTCTCTATCCAAAACAAACATGAAGTATGTAACTCAGAACCAAGATTTAAGACCAATAACTTGTCAACTGATAATTGAGGAGCACATGAACTTCGAGTTTTAGATCTATTTTTTGTCTTATTTTTCTTTTATGTTTGGTATTGTTTTCTTTCATGGATAGTTAAGACATAATAAGATCTAGATAGTCCAAAAGAAGTAGCAATGAGCTCATGTACCCACAAGAACAACCACCACCGTGGGGATATAGATCTTTATTTATACTGCCATGTGTATATATACGTCTCTATAAATATATATATATATATATGCCAAATACCAATTCTATGTGGGGATTTGCAAGGTTTTTTGCACTAATCAATTATGATTTGCATCACTAGTTGCTCTATTAACATAATGAATCCAAATAAGAACTACTAGTAATTAAAATTTTTCACACAAATTCATGCGTTAGTGTCCTTTTTCTTTTCCTTTGTTATTCACACATATGTTTGACAGTCATAAATCCAGACTCCACGGAAATTGTGAAGCCAATCATGAAATACACGAAGACAAAATGATCCATTTTCAAAAAAAAAAAACCAAAATATATAATTTCGAGGACAAAAGAACGAGCCAAGCCAATAAAGAAAATGCAGAGATCAAATCACTCAAAAAAAAAAAAACATTTCCTGGTCGAAATTAGACGAACAAAAGCAAAAGCAGATTTCAGAAATCTCCTAAAAAAAAGTGAGCTAGAATGATTGGAATACCTGCTGGGATTGGGATTCTCTAGGCAAGAAAGGCTGCATCTGTTCATCTTCCAAGGAATTCCTTGTGTAAATCAGAAATAGGAAAACGGAGAATGCGAAAATGCAGAGAATTTGAACAGTTAGGGCAAGGGGAGATGATTTTCGTGGACGAAACTTGGAGGTTCTGTGCTGGGAAGAGCTTCTGTGAACCATTTCAATTTTCAGCTACAGATCGCTTTCGTCATTTCCTTCTTTCCAATACAACGTTCCATGTACTGCTAGCTAGAGGGTGCGAGAGTGCGTAAATCCGAAATCATCCGAACCCAAAATAATCGGATTGAACCGACCCGATCTAATCAACGCCCAAATTCTAACATCATTTTTTATTGGCCATAGGATTGTGTATGGTTTGCCTTGAACCGTCGGATCGGCATCGGACCAATCCAGTGGCTTTTAGACCGTCAATTTGATTCCACGTCAAAATCGTTTATTATCGGTTTAAAATTCATACCAAACTGAAACGGTCTAATCCGGTTTGGAAAATTTTATAAACGGTCGAGATCATCAGATTGTTTTACATATAAATATATCATGACCCGTTTAGTTCGCTAATTTAAATTTTTAATTTCAGTTAAAATGTGAATTTATATGAGAATTTTTTACTATAGTAAAAAAATTATATGTGACTGTTTTTTAAAATTTTTTACTGTAATAAAACTTAAATTTTAAACTCGAATCAGTAAAATAAACGGGGTCTAAAAATATGAAATATTAATTTTATTTTTTTTTGTTTTTAGGCCTTTGTTATTCTAATAGAATGTTAATTTAATGGATTATCTGTAATATATGATTTTATTCATCTGTTGTATTTAACGTCTATATAAACCTTAGAAAATATGAAATACAGTAACCAAAGAAAAGAAAAGGAAAAATAACTCGTTAATTTCGCGGATTCGAGTTTTCAATTCGAGTTAAGATGTGACATTTTCATAGAGCTTTTCACTGTAACAAAAAAAGTTAGATGTGACATTTTCTAAGAGCTTTTTACTGTAGAAACCTAAAACTGAAAACTCGAATCGGTGAAATGAACGAGGCCTAAAACTTTTAACAAATAGTCTGGTAACGGCCTAGTATGATTTAGGAGTTTTTTTTTTTTTAAACCATCAAAAAGGTCCGGTTTAAAAAACATAACGGTTTGGGACCAAATAAAACCTTGGGAGAAAGAGAAAAATAAGTCAAGACTTGAGATGAATTAAAATTAATATGCCAATAGTTTACATAAGTTAATAAATAGGCCAAATTATTATTTTTGTCCATAACTTGTCTAGTTATGAACCATAACTTGACAAGTTATTGTCCATTTTATCCATAACTTGTCCGGCTATGAACCATAACTTGACAAGTTTGTCCATAACTTATCTAGTTATGAACCATAACTTGACAAGTTATGACCTATTAGTTTTTATAACTAAAAGTTGACATATATACTTTCTTACGCTTTTCATATTGGCATATTTTCTACTATTTCCGTAAAACCTTACACAATCCTAATTGGGTACGTGGGTTCAAACCGTGTGAACACCCATGTACCAAATAGACTCTGAAGGTTGTAAAATCCAACTTCTTAAAAAATATGTTAGAAAAAATGTATGAACTTTTTATCAAACAACGATTGCATTTTTTTTTTTTTTTTGCAAAAAATGTTAATACAAGTTCTATAGACAATTTGAAACCGAGCCGTAGCATGTCCAACGCAATGCTAAATGAAGCGAATCAATGTTAAATTTTAATATTTTGATAGATCGATAAAAAATTATTTTTTAATGCAATGCAATTTTTAAGTTGAATTCACAAATACTACATTTTTTTGATAAAGTTGACAAAAAATATAGCAAATATAACATTTTAACATTTAATTGCTACTAGGTATATATCAACTTTTTTCTTTTTTTATCACTATAATATTGCCACATTCAATTTATTTTAATTTTAAAGTTCCATTTTTACAAGTTAGCATGCAGAGGGGCAATATGAGTATTAAAAGGGTGTTTTTCCTATTAAAATTTCTCGTTATAATGTAATGTAATTACGACCCGATATTATTGAAGACACCGTCCAACCCACTAATATAGGGTGGTCTAGGCCATGGGTCAACTCATAGAAAATGATAGATTATGTTAAGCCTGATTTGAGGCGGGTTAGTCCATACATATTTGTTTTTTTGTTTGATTTTTATTTTTAATTTGTAATCCTAAAAACAATCTTCATCTTGATTGCGCCCCTTTTTTGAAAAATTGTAGTAAATAGTAGATTTATAATATTAAATTAAGTAAATAGTTGGTTTCAAAACTATTTAAAGTATATTATAGTAATTTATCGTGTAAATGTTCCATCTACGACTAATAAAAAATAATTTACGTAATAAAAAATCTTTTTTATTTGAAAAAAGATTTTTTTATCAATTGTAAAAAAAATTTATGTGAAGAAATTATTTTTCTTAATCAAAAAAAGGAATTTACATATAAATTTTATATACTATTTACTTTAATTATTTACTATAAATTTACTATTTACTTCATTCTCCATTTTCTTTTCCCTCACCAAAAGTTAGGTTTTTAATGACGGAATTAGATGAAGTGAAAACTTTTTTTTTTTTATTTGAGGGAATTAGATGAAAACTTTCAATTGCAAATATTTTAATAGTTCAGGAGCTTTTGCAAATATTAAAAATAACATGGACCAATGTTATGTATCAGGGCCAAAGATACAAACGCCACCGTTTCACTAGCGTATATTTTTATTTATTCTTTTAAAAAAAGAAAAAAGAAAACGGAAAAAGAGAAACCCTAGCCCTAGCTCTTACTCATATATTAGCTTCAACACTCATTCCGCCATCTCCAGCGCCCCTCTCTCTGCCGTTTCACTCAGTTTTCCTCTCTCGACGCTTCTTCGCTGTCACCCGATTTTGAGTCTCTTCGATCAATAGCTTTTCAAGGTAATTGTCAGATGTTTCCTATTTGTTTGTTTGTTTAGAAAATTTCGATTCGAAGATAATGATGATGTTGAATCAGACATTGTTGTTGCGTCGTAGAAGTTAAGGTTTTATCTAGCATGAGAGGAATGAATAAATAGTGAAATGAAAATGTACGGAAGAAATTAGTCGCGGAATGACCAACATTATTTTGGAATTTGAGTTAGAGTTGAAAGAAGTTGTGTTGAGTGCCATTTACGATGTGTTTGAGGAAAAAAAAAGTTTTGAAGATGGCGGTTTTAACGTGCGGTGGTGGGGATTTTTCTTTCTTTTTTGTTTTTTTTTTTGTTTTTTGGTTAAGGCGGTGGTTGTGCTTTTCTTTTTTGTTAATAAATGTTTAGATGTTATTGAAAAGTCGTGAACTTCACTGGCTTTGCTTGATTTTAAGTTGTTATTTGAAAAACAAAAGGTATCTTTGAGAGCGTTTTCCAATCATTTTTATTAGGAATTTGATGTTGTCGTATAGATATTTTATTTTATTTTTCTTATTTTCTTTTTGCTGAACTATATATTGTAATTATGTTTGTTTTGTAAACTGGAAGCACAATAGTTATATTACAGATGATATTGATCTATGTGGGTTTTTAGCTTACGTCAATTGCTTCTAGTTTCAAGATTTAAATTTGATAGCTTATGTTATTTATTCGTTTTCTATTGCATGATTGCATAATTGAAAAATGACGAAAAAAACTCAAGATTTGTACTACCTACTTCATCATACTAGTTCCTTGTTTGCTCAATGGGACAAAGAGTTTCTGTTTTTCTTTTATTTTCGTACTGGATTTTGCTTTCAGATGTTAAATATCCATTTTTTATAGCACAGGTTTATATTCTTTAAGTTATTAAAATATTATTAAATAATAATTATTGGTATTATTATGTAGAGATGGGCGAAGAAGTCAAGGCAGTGATTCCAGAGTCAGTGTTGAAGAAGAGGAAGAGGGAAGACGAATGGGCCGTGGCAAAAAAGCAAGAGGTTGAAGCATTGAAGAAGAAGAATGCTGAGAACCGAAAGCTCATCTTCAACAGAGCCAAGCAGTATTCTAAGGAGTATGCCAAGAAGGTAATTTGAAGTTAATTCTTGTCCATTAATCATTTTTGTGACCCATTTTTAGTGTTTAATCTTGTTTATTTCTCCTTGTTCTTCAGGAGAAGGAGCTGATCCAGCTAAAGCGCGAGGCCAAGTTGAAAGGAGGGTTTTATGTTGAGCCAGAAGCTAAGCTTTTGTTCATCATTCGTATCCGTGGGTATGTCCTTAATTTCACTGAATTTTATACGTTGACTTTTTATTTACCAGCTCTTACAATTCAAAATAAAACTTTTCAGTATCAATGCCATGCATCCGAAGACACGAAAGATTTTGCAGCTCTTGCGGTTGAGACAGGTAGAGCATCTGATTCCTCAGTTGATTAGTTACTTGAATAATGGACATTTGGTGTTATTTGTGTTAGTATAATGCTCTCTTTGTTTTTGAAATCCTATGCTATTTGCTGGATCTTTCTAAGTCTATTCATCCTATACTCTATGTCATTGTTTAAACAGTTCTTTAACGTTTTCCCCCATCGTGACAAAAGTGCTTTGGGTAGAATGTTATTCAACATTCAACAATTATAGTCACGAAGTTGATTCTGTGATATTGAATGGAACATTTTTTAGATGTGCACTTAGGGTAAGTTTTGAACTCCTCAGGACGAGGGAATGGATATAAAAAAGCCTGTCCCTGTCTGCTTCTTCAGATAACCTGTAGATGACAATATTTTCTATCTGATTAGTCGTTATGCTTTTCCTGTTGAGATTTTCTATGATCGCATTTGACTATTTGTAGTGAAGTAAAGGTTTTGTGCTTATTTCATGCTGTGCAAAAATTGCCTTCAAGGTGGTTATATTTTAATGTTACTGTTTTTTCGAATTCTATTTTCCTGAACAGATCTTCAACGGTGTCTTCCTAAAAGTGAACAAGGCTACCGTGAATATGCTCCACAGGGTTGAACCATATGTAACATACGGGTATGCTCGATTGTGTAGACTTTTCTTCATTTGTCATGATTTATATTTGAACAATTTCCCTGATCAATTGTGGTGTGTGGTTCTAGATACCCAAATTTGAAGAGTGTAAAGGAATTGATTTATAAGAGAGGTTATGGGAAGCTGAACAAGCGAAGAACTGCTTTGACTGACAACTCCATAATCGAACAGGTTTGTGGTTCTTTCTCTTTTTTGGTTGCCTTGAAGAACAATTACTTTTGAGTTGAGTAACTTTGCTAAACAACTTGTTCTCATAGGCATTGGGCAAGTACGGAATTATCTGCGTGGAGGATCTTATTCACGAGATCGCAACTGTTGGACCTCATTTTAAGGAGGCAAATAACTTCTTATGGCCATTTAAGCTCAAGGCTCCATTGGGCGGTCTGGAGAAGAAGAGGAACCACTATGTTGAAGGTGGAGATGCTGGAAACCGTGAGAACTACATCAATGAACTCATCAGGAGAATGAATTAGGTTTTGGCAGTTTTTTTGATTAAGAGATTATGATCATTTTGTTTGTCATTAGAACAAGTATGAGGCTTAAATTGTTCTTTGAAGTTGGACACAGTTTTTATTTCTTTTTTATGGTATTTAAAGCTTCTGACTTTCGATGCCAGAAGATTTTGTTGCATTCCAGAAGTTTCTAAGCTAGTGTGATCGTAATACTATAATAGATATTTCATAATCTTTTGTTATTCTCAGTTTGACGAGGTTTGTATCAAGTACAAATGATTTTGATTTGATGAGGCAAGTCATTACTGGTTTTTGAGTTTTAAACACCACAAGAACATTTTGAGAGCTCTCAAAAGCTACGTATTTCATATGTAAAACAGGCACCTCATGTCAAAGGCTTAAAACTGAAACAAAACCACACGGATGAAGGAAATGACAATACAATTATGTTAAGTTAATTGGTTTAAACAGAAAATGTGACCATTCAAAATTTTTGTAAGAGAAAAGTAAAATGCCGCCAATCTATGTAAGCATCATATAGTGATGTTCAGAGGTTCATCATCAATATTTTTTTTCCTTAACTAATTTTTTAGGGGTGTTGCACTTTAGCCTCCTCAACTTGGTGCCTTTGACATTTTAAACCCTTAAGAAAATTTTCTGGGACATTGTTCTTGTACTTTCCATTCCTTTGCAATATCAACATTTTGCTAACTTATATTATTTTTTTAAGCCAAAATAAAATGTGAGTCTGTTTTACATTGTTATGGATTCATTTTATTTTGGGGTTGTATATGCCTTTCTTTTAATTTGATAAGGAACATGTTTTGTAGTACCAAATACGGGGTTGTTCTTTTGTCCTTTTTGAGTTAAGTGACTTGAGTGTAGATTTTGAGTTGAGTTTGAGTTATAACTTGAATTGAAGTTGTAACTTGAGTTTGTGTTTGTTTGTGTACATTTGAGTTATAGTTTGATATAAAAATATTTTTGAGTTTGTGTTTGAGTGAGTCAAAACTTGAATTTGTGTTTAGATAGTATTTTAATAAAAACTCAATGCTGATGGAAAATTTTAATAGGGTATATGGGTGGGGTTTTATTCGTCTTTTCTTTGTCAACGCATAGAAAAAAAAAACCATCTCAATCAGCATTAAAACGAAAAAGTTATAGTATTTTTAAGAATATAAAAAATACTGTTTATTAATTTGAGTTCGAGTTTTTGAACTCGAGTTGAAGGGGAAACTTGAACGCGAGTTTTAGTCCCAAACTCGAGTTCAAACTTAACAGAACATGAACTTTAATAAAGTTGTAACTTGAGTTGTTTTTTTTTTTTTGAATTTTTGACTCAAGAAAGGGGCTGCCGAACAGCCCCTTATCTCTCGAAACCGTTGGTTGATAAAGACGTGTGCCTCATTGATATTGAGGTTAGACCGTTATTGTGAAGTTGACACAGTTGCTCCGTTTGAATTACAGTTTATACATTTTCATTATAACGGTTTCTAAATGAATATTAAAAATTATTTCAAACATATGAACTGAATGAGCATGTTTGTATGGATGCAAGTAGAAAAGGATTGTTGGCTGGTAATAAGGCAATTATAAGCCTAGATGTTGTCATATAAATGGCCCTCACAAGGGGAAATTGCTTCTTGTTATTGTTGAGATTGAGGGGTTGTTTGGATCATGAGTGCGAATGGTATGGAAACAACTCTTTTTAGTTTGAACTAAAAAGGTTTGAAAACAGTGTGCAAGCAAACCCTTTTTATTCGAACCTTTGGGAACATGCGATGCCAAGGTTGGAGTTTTAAAATATTAGTATTTTTTTAGGGAATTAAAATATTAGTATTACTAATGGTTCTTAAATAGGAAAAAAAAAATGTATGTAATGATTCTGCTATAATATTTTTTTTATCTCACAAAGAGTTTGAATTTTAAAATTTTTTAGTTTCGTTCACTTTGCTGATTCGAGTTTAGAATTTGAGTTGAGATGTGACTTTATGTGAGAGCTTTTTACTGTAGCAAAAAAGTTAGATGTGATTGTTTGTGAGAGCTTTTTACTGTAGAAAAACTCGAATTCTAAACTCGAATCAACGAAATGAACGGGTCTCACAAAGTGCTTGCCAAGGAACCTAAATCATGATTTGAATATACATTCTAAACGGGCTCTTTCATAATGATTAAATGTTTAGAAGCTTCTCTAGTAAGACTTTTCAAATCATGATTAAAAAAAAATAAATTATCGTTAATTCTCAACTTTTTAAACGTGAAATCGTATAAAAAATTATCTATTTTACATATTAAATCTGATTTGGTTTTGACCCAATCTAACGTTTATAAATTGATCTTATCAGTAGAGAGAACTATCAAAAAAGGTTCCTTAATACTTTTGCTTTTATTAAAATCGTGAAATTTTTAGAACATGAATAAATTTCACAAATAATCTCTTATATATATATATATATATATATATATATATATATATATATTAAAAACAACCTTGTTACATAACACCAGTTGTAATGTTGTATGCGGTCATTCTCATTCTAAACTGATATCTACAAATAAACACTTCTTAGCCGTCCGACCAGACGCCCCCGGTGGGACCAACGAACCGCAAGATTTCTCCTTTTTCCTCTCCTAAAACCCACTTGGATAATTCGTCCTTCCCAACTTCTCCCATTTTCCCTCCTCTCCGGAAAGTGAGAGAAAACAGCAAGAAATTCTACTCTTTCATGGTGGAAAAATGAACTCCCAAGTCTTCAACAGAAACGATTTAATTCAACTACCTAAGCCATTCTCAAACTTTTCTCCATCTAAAACTCTTCTTCAGCTGCCTAATTCTTCTGCGACATTTTGTCGAACATGGCGTATGCGTTTATTCAGAGCCAAAAGTCAGGCCTACAATGGCGCTTCTTTCATTCTTAAGCCAAGGAACCTCGGAATCTTTGCTCGCAGTGCTTCCGGTTCGAGTTCGAACTCCGTTGCAGTGTCCGAAAACTCGGAGGAAGACGCTGAATCTGTTCAGATATTCGAGGTTTTTAATATTGCTTTTTAGTTTGTTTATTTTGTTTTCATAGAGTATTGAATGTCTCGTAACCGAGAAATTGTTATTGTTTTCTATTTTATTTGTAATGCCAGATTATAATCGAGAATTTGGAAGGAAATCATTGGTAATATCTAACTGACGGGAACAAACTTCGAGAATTATTACTAGTTTCTGTTTTACTAGCAATGTCTGGTCGAGGAAAAAAGTTTGAAATTCGATATTTGTTTCTGCTTTATTTGTAGTCCCTCATAGCTAAGAAATTGGAAGAGTAAATGTTGAGAATTATTTTACTCTTTGTAATGGTTTAATGGGAAATCGGGAGATCATTTTTTTTTTAAAAAAAAAAAAACAAGACAGACCTTTATTTTTATGTATATGTGCTTATGATGAAAAGGAGGAAGAAACAAAAGGAATCTGAACTTTGAAATAAGGATTTGGGGTTTAATACAATAAAATTAGTCTGATTGCAAAAGAACAAGAGGGTGAGATTATGCTCTTTGAATTGGGAGGATTCATGGTGTTAGCCATCACTCCTTTCCTACTTGATAGGCCATTGCAGATCGGTTTTACATATTGGTAAATAGTGATGGAAACTGTCAGGCCATTATTTGAACAAGTTGGAACTTGGAATGTGTTGATTTAAGCCTAAGCCTCAGAAGGATTGTCTAAGAAGTGGGCTTGATAAAAGCCGTTTATACACGTTAACGTGCCAATGGAAGGGTGAATTGGGAGATGTTTATTGGGGCTTAAGTAGCCGTAGACATCGATGTGGTCTCTTGTGTTTAAGTTGTTATTTTCTAGTTAGAGTTGGGGAGGGAAAAGTTACTGTAATGGTGCTTAGGGGGCTTGATTAGTAAAAAAAACTCAGAATAACTTAACAAGGGAGCAATCTTTTATTAATTTGTTTAAACAGCTGAAGAATACAGCTTTTATTTTATTGATCATCACTTGTCATTTCTTGTAGTTCTTGATTTAAGAGTTGTGCATTTTCAAAATTTCATAGACACTTAGAGATTCACCTTTGACTTGCTAGCCATAGAGGACTTGGTGGATGGAGTGTGCTTTTGTGTGGCAAACCATGCACCTGTCAATTAACAGGGCGTTGCATTAATCCTTTCCAGAAACTCAATATAATATTTATTTTTGGGCTTTTAATCCATCCCCCCAATCCATTTTTGATGAATCCTCTGCTTCAGTTTTTGGATTTTAATACCATTTACTAAGCCTCTCTTTTTCTCCGTCCCCAATAAATATTTTGTTTACATAAATAAAAAAGAACATATTACTGCTTTCTTCATTTGGAATCTTATTGCCACTTATGTTTGTTGTCAATTTGAAAAAATTTCAGAAATTGAAGGATGCAGAGAGAGAACGAATTAGTAAGTTGGAAGAACTTGAGCGGAAGGCAAATACGCAGTTAGAGAGGCAGCTTGTGATGGCGTCTTATTGGAGTAGGGTCTTGTTGACTATGCGTGGAAAGTTAAAAGGAACGGAATGGGATCCTGAAAGCTCGCATAGGATTGACTTTAGTGATTTTTGGAGGCTTGTTAACTCTAATAATGTTCAGTTTATGGAGTACTCAAATTATGGTCAAACTGTATCAGGTAGATAATTTATTGTGTTCTTTGCATATTGTTTTGCTGGTCACCTCACTTTTGGTTATTCTTCTCATTCCTGGTGCCTTTTCTCTTACAGTTGTTGGCTTTCAAAATATTGAAAGTTAAGTTTCACAAGTGATCGTTTGTATTATCTCGGATGTGGGGCTTACAATATTTATACAGTATTTGCGTCTTATTTGTGTGGTTGTTTGTTAGGATCCTGGTTGAGTCCCACATTGCTAAAGTATGGGCTTAGCATGTGGGTTTATAACCATTTGGGCATCCTCTCCCTACAAGCTAGCTTTTGGGGATGAGTTCTACCCAAGGGTTATAACAATTGGTATCAGAGCATGCTCCTCCTCAGGCTCACGTTGCGGAAGGGGTGACCTGGGGAGGGGCGACCTGGAAAGGCCAGAGTGGGCCATCCAGAGTGGGCCGCCGTGGACGTCGGTGTCGGAAGCGTGGTGGTATGTTAGGATCCTGGTTGAGTCCCACATTGCTAAAGTATGGGCTTAGCATGTGGTTTTATAACCATTTGGGCACCCTCTCCCTACAAGCTAGCTTTTGGGGATGAGTTCTACCCAAGGGTTATAACATTGTTTTAACCCTTATGAGCCCCAAACTTGCATTTCTCAGCTATTCAAATTATTGGGTGAATAATTTGGATATAAGTTGATAGAAGTTAAGGATAGGAAAAGCTAGGAGGAAGATCAATCCAGTATTTGGTGGCGGGGGTTAATGGTCTTGGTGATAACAGATAGCTCATGCAGTGAATATTGAAATAGGAAGCTTGGGGACCATTTATTTTGGTGGTTTACTTGTACCATCCTCGTTGAAACAAGAGGAAAGTCTGAGTTCTTTCCTCGTCCCCTTTGTTTGTTTATTGTTTAACAGTCTCTTTTCTCCTATTTGTTCAGTTCTTCACTTCATTTTCCCTTTTTTATTTTCTTATGGGATCAAAAGTAGCCTGGCCAACAAGGATCAAGCACATCCGCTACACCTTGTCCATAAGTGTATAAAATTTTAGTTTTGTACCCATTCTTATGGCTATTTCATCTTGGATCCTGTAATTTTGTGCAACCGAAGCTGACCCACCAACATAGTTTAAAATGCAAATAAGTCTCACCAACTAGCAAGTGTGTGCCCGCGCGTTAATTAGAGGGACTGAGTTGGTGGTTAATTGAAATTTTCTCTTCCAAGATTGTTTCTTTTTTCCTTTTCCAGAATATACGATCTACAAATGTGAAACAATAACTTGAGCTATTATAGACCAATGCTGAAATTTGAATTCCATTTTGGACTTTTCATTAATTTTGATTGTTTTATCACTTTAAATTCATTCAAGTTTCACCAAAATAATCGAGCTCTTAAAATCTGATGTGAAAAATCCTATGAAATTGTAAACAAATATAAAGTTGGCGATACAAATGCTTTTCATTATATAAAGAATGGAGATACGCATATTTGTTATTGTTTGTCTCTTCATTTGGAAATCTTTTGTGCCAAGTTTACTTTAATATCTTTTTCTTAATGCTTCGCCAGCACTGTTGTTGCTTTAAGAGTTTCAGATTCATCTATATGGTAATTTATAATGTCTAACTAAATGTTTGAGCTAAATTGTTGGAATTGGTCATATAATGTCATTCAACAGTCTTACGCTCTAAAAGCATCCTTTTGTCCTTAACTTCTAATGATAACTATGTATTCTTGCCGATTCAATAAAACTTACTCATTAGTTGCATGCCATCTTTATTTCCTTGACATATATTGCGGAAAATTAATTGCCTCATTTTCACAGTGATTCTACCTTACTACAAAGATGAGAAAATGAGTGGACCTGAAGGAAATTCAAAGAAGGAAATTGTTTTTCGGCGTCACATTGTTGACCGTATGCCGATTGATAGCTGGAATGATGTTTGGCAGAAGCTGCACCAGCAAATAGTGAATGTTGATGTTCTTAATGTGGACACAGTACCTGCAGAGGTCTACTCTACTGTTGCAACTGCAGTCATTTGGTCTATGCGGCTTGCCCTGTCAATTGCTTTATATACATGGATTGATAACTTGATGAGACCGATTTATGCGAAGTTGATACCTTGCGATTTAGGTACTCCTAGTAAAAAAACAAGGCAACCACTACCACTCAAGCGCCAGGCACTTGGATCATTGGGCAAAAGTCGGTAAGTTGAGACTGGAGAGTGATTTCCAGTGACTTAGTTGTTAGATTTCTTTGAGTTGATTGTATACATTTCATTACCAGTAGTTGATGAAATCCCCCCTCCCACTTTCTCTCTGGTTTTGATTCCTTTTGAGCTGTTCTATAAGTTGTCGAGGAGGAAGTTAGTACTAAAAATTTACTGGTGCTGCTTTTGCTGATTTTGCTGGTCAGGAATACCAGTAGTAATGTTTGATTTGTATCGACCGAATCTTACAGATTTTACATATTACATGGACCTAACTTCTATTGCTGCTCTCCACCAGGGCAAAGTTTATATCAGCGGAAGAATCTACTGGTGTTACTTTTGCTGATTTTGCTGGTCAGGAATACATAAAGAGAGAACTGCAGGAGATCGTAAGAATTCTAAAGAACGATGAAGAATTTCAAGACAAAGGGATTTATTGCCCAAAAGGTGTACTTCTCCATGGACCTCCTGGAACTGGTAAAACGCTGCTAGCTAAAGCTATTGCTGGTGAAGCAGGACTCCCTTTCTTTGCAGCAAATGGCACCGATTTCGTAGAGGTTAGCCCTGAATTTCTTGATCATGAGTTAAAATACAGTTAGATTATTTATGCCTTAACATCAAAATTAAAAATCATGATTATGTTTTTGTCTTGCCTGCACTTTTCGTGAACCACCCATTTTTCCTCACTATATGGATCCTGCCTCGTTGTGTAAATTTTTTATCCTTACCACCGTGACTCTCTCTCTCTCAGTTTAGGTATATATTAGCCACTTGTAAAACTCAAAGGAACCACATATTTCTCTTTCTGTGTTATGTGAAGCTATTAAATTTTAAAGGAACCTATCTAATTCAATTTTATCAATTTTTCTCCAGATGTTTGTAGGTGTGGCAGCTTCTCGTGTCAAGGATCTTTTTGCTAGTGCTAGATCCTTTGCGCCATCAATTATATTTATTGATGAGATAGATGCCATTGGTAGCAAGCGCGGGGGGCCAGATATTGGTGGGGTATGTCATTTATATTGTTTCTGTCCATACAAGACCATATTCCCTGTTTTCCATTTGGTAACCCCCCGATAGCAAGATTGGAAAAACATAAACAATTCGCAGAATGAATGGCCATCATTTCTTTTTATATTTCCCAGCTAAGTAAAACAAGAAGTAGAATCTGTCATGGCTCTGGTTTCAGTTTATATCATATATCTTATAAGAGGTCTAACATACGTATCTCGTATGTTTATTGCCTAATCAGTATGGTGTACCATTAAATCTTGATATTAAGCTTATCGTAGCTCTTGTTTTGTATGATTTTATCTAACCAAAAAAAAAAAAAAAAAAGGTGGATACGAGTATGACTTCTGACTTCATTGTATAGGGTGGTGCAGAAAGGGAACAAGGTCTACTTCAAATATTGACAGAGATGGATGGATTTAAAGTTTCTACGTCACAGGTATATTTGCAACCATTCTTGGATTAAAGAGGGTTGTCTTATTAATTAAAAGAAAAAAAGAAAGACAGTTTGTTTGACTGTTTAACTTGGTTTGTTAGGTGCTGGTTATAGGTGCTACAAATAGACTGGATATTCTCGATCCTGCTTTATTGCGGAAGGGCCGTTTTGACAAGATTATAAGAGTTGGTTTGCCATCTAAGTATGGTAGATTGGCCATTTTAAAGGTATAGTGCTTAATTCTGTTTTTTTCTTATAGGACCTTACAATCTCAAGTTTGTATTTCTTTACAACAAAGAACCTTTTGAGCATGACAGGTGCATGCTAGAAATAAAATGTTTCGGTCCGAGGCGGAGAAGGAAGCACTTCTTCAGGAAGTTGCAGAGCTTACAGAGGATTTTACTGGTGCTGAACTGCAGAACATACTGTAAGTGCATAATCCACAATGTCTATTTTGTTCTTTTACCAAGAAAGAAAGATGCTTATATTTCATTATTTCTCAATTTAATGACAGGAATGAAGCCGGAATTTTGACTGCAAGAAAGGATTTAGATTACATTGGACAAGATGAGCTGCTAGAGGCTTTGAAAAGGGTTGGTGCCTTCTAGGCACATATCTCCATATCTATGCTAGATTATGCCTTTTCTTATTTTTATACTTTTTAGTCCAACTTGTGGCCTGATATCGTTATTCCTACTTTCTATCCAATTTTGCAGCAAAAAGGCACCTTTGAAACAGGTCAGGAAGATAGTACTGAAATCCCAGAGGAATTAAAACTGAGGTTGGCATACAGAGAAGCAGCTGTTGCTGTCCTTGCTTGCTATTTTCCAGATCCCTACCGTCCTTTTACCCAGGTCGTGGTGCTACCTTTATTATTCCATTAAGTTCTATGCCTAGACACGTTGTAATTTGTTTCCCTTTGCGTCTTATGCAGACTGATATAAAAATGATTCGTAGTCAGCCGAATATGTGTTATGCTGAAACTCCGGGCAAGGTCTTCTCCAGAAAATCAGATTATGTGAACTCTATAGTGCGTGCATGTGCTCGTAAGTTCCCAAGATATATTTTTAGCAAAATTATACTTAAGACAACAGCTCAACTTATCTTCTTTGCTCACCAGTCAGTTGCTCAATTTTTTCTCTCTTATATTTTCATTCTTTGGGGGCCAAGAAATCTTGATGCTTTTAACTACATTCTTGCTTTCTTTTACTTGCAATTTCTTACTTCTAAAGTAAGCATTTAATATACTGCTAACAAGTAACATCAGGATCTAAATTGAATATCAGTGGATTTCTGTAGCTCAGTTGTCAGTCTCTTTGTAATGGCCAAAGGGGAGGTCTCGGTTGCTATATGCTTAAGACAAGACTCCCAAAATGATGACTATTCTGCCATAGGTTTAGGGTTTAAGATAGCTAGAACTGGGGGAAGAGTTTAAATTATTTTGGCCAGATTGGTTGTCTTTTATTTTATTTTGGATAGTGCATGACGCATGTAGCTCATGCATGATTTTCTTGGCTGTAATTCTATAATGCCTGGTGTTTCGATTATTTGATATTAGCTGATATTTATGAACAACAACTACGATAATAATTATAATAATAATATACTAATAGCTATTTGATTGCTCAAATTTTAGCAAGAGTTATTGAGGAGGAGATGTTTGGGGTTGACAATCTCTGTTGGATCTCTTCAAAGGCCACATTAGAAGCTTCACGGCTGGCAGAATTTTTAATTTTGCAAACTGGAATGACAGCTTTTGGGAAAGCTTACTACAGGAATCAGAGTGATCTTGTGCCCAATGTATGCTTGAGGATCCCAAGTATTTACACACCAAATACGTCCCTAAATTTTTCTCATAGGAGGTTTTTTTTTTTTTTTTTTTCCAACTGATTTTTACTTATGGTTCTTCATAAGTAGGATTGACATTTCTAATGAATCGCAACAGCTTGCAGCAAAGCTTGAAGCACTTAGGGATGAATATATGCGTTATGCCGTTGACAAGTGTTCGTCTGTGTTGAGGGAATACCACTTAGCTGTTGAGACAATCACAGGTAATTATTTTTCCATTTTTTTTAATTTTTTTTTAATCTGTTTGAAGAATCAAGCATTACTGAACGGCTTGTTGATTGAAATCTTATCAATCTAGTTGAGGTTACACGAGACTAAAATTCTAGTTCTAGATTCGTTCTTAAAGAGAGACATAATTTGTGTATTTGGTGGCTGGCTGTGTTCTTTTTGTTATGCAGACATTTTACTTGAGAAGGGAGAAATTAAATCTGAGGAAATTTGGGATATATATAAGAGGGCTCCTAGAATACCTCAGGTAGTTCTTGAACTTGATGGTATTGCTATTTTGTCAGTTGCGCTAGTTAATTATTAGTATAAAAAGTTACAATTGGCGTGTTATTTTGTCCAAATGGAATCAAGTTTCTTATAAATGTTAGGTTTCTCATGTAATAGCTTTTCCAAGAGTAATCTGTTATATTGTTATGCTGTCTTTGCCTTCCACTTGCTAATCTATGGCTGCATTGTGGAAACTGACTAGTTGAGCAATCTAACTCCAAGGCTATTTGCGAAATCATTTTGTTTCTCCTTCCAGTAATATAACGTTTGTTTCATCAGTATCTATGTCGATGAGCACATCTGTAAAGTCTTGTCATTTATTCTTGTTCATTGCTCAGCCTGCTGTGGGTCCAGTGGATGAGTACGGAGCCCTAATATATGCAGGAAGATGGGGAATACATGGAATCTCACTTCCTGGTAGGGTTACATTTGCCCCTGGCAATGTTGGATTTGCAACTTTTGGTGCACCCCGCCCTATGGAGGTATTTGAGAAACTATGATACTGCTTGGTTCTTCATGCTATTGAAATTTTTTAATTTCTCGATATGACTAGCCGTTTTCTTCTTTTCCTTCTCACCGCTGTTTACAGACCCAAACTGTCAATGATGAAACCTGGAAGCTAATAGATGATATATGGGATAAAAGGATACAAGAAATGAAAGCTCAAGCTTCAGCGGAGGTTGAAGAAGAGAAAGAGGAGCCGCAACTTCTCATTGCTAGCCATTTCCTTTGAAGGTAAACGTCGCTTTCTTATATTGCTGGGTTTACACCTACAGTAAATCTTTTTCTTACAGGAAAGTGCAGTGTTATGATAAATTCTCTGTTCTCTCTTATATTCATATGCAAATGCAAGCCAAGCTTTTTATTCCTTCTTGTCATAACCATATTTTTTAAAGATTCTTCATAGCCTGAGCTAGGACCTAGGGCTTCAGCGGAAAAATATAGCTCCTTTATTATGTTCCCGTGAAGCAAAATCCTTTTTAATCCTGGATTGAACCATGATTTCAGACCTCTGTGGAAAGGCACGTGCATGTACGTAGACATCTATAAGCATTGAATAATTTTTTCAGGAAGCATATTGTGTATATGAATTTTTTTTTTTTTTTTTTATTATTATTATTTTTTTTGTGTTAGTTGACTAATGGATGGTCAATAAAGACCAAGGGGAATGTTGGTGGCATAGGAGTTTCAGCTATTTCATCTAAATTTCATGTTAGTTCGGCAGAGCAACGCAAGATCCTATATCTGGCTCATGCTTCATCATTTTAATAGGATGTCCAATCATCCAAAATTTGTCCCTACTTTGAGGAATAATTTCACACGTCTTTGCTCTTGCATGCTCCTTTGGGTTTGTTTCTGTTACATGGAGCTAAATACATGTGAAATTATGCGTTTTTCCTCTTTTGCAGGTAAAGTTTTCCTCACTTTCCTGGTAGATTAGAGCATCCTCAAGGATTCATGCCATGGTTGGTAGCTTTTCCCATTAATTCGCTTTGAAGTAGCGAAACCTATTTACCTTGGTTGGAAAATTAAATGTTCATGTTTAATTGAAAATGTCACACTAGCATCTGGAGCTGGCAGAAACTAGAAAATAACATGAGGGTCCCAACAGAAAAGAGAGAAGGGGAAGAAAAAGGAAAAGGGGATGTAACAAGCACTATGAACTTGTATAGGAAAAAAAAATGTTACTATATTGGAGAAGAAAACAAATACTATCATTGTTATGTACATGAAGAAATAGATTAGATTCTGCAAGAAATTGAGGTCTATTCCTCCTGAAGCGTACAGCGATGGAGGAAACGTCGGAAAGAAATGAGCAGAGCAGTCTCCATGTTATTCTCCAAGTATAAGGCAAACACTTTTATTCACCATTCCAATATGCTTGGCGGCTGTAATGTTGCATTGTTTGAACTCGTCATTGTTCATGTTGATTGCTTTTATACCATTAGCTAAAGGCAAGGCATGAACACTGTTACTTTTATTTGTGATGATGAGGCATAAAAGTGCCTTCTTTCTACTAACTCAATCACCCTGTTCTCCAATTGAAGTGATAAGAGTGAGAAACCTCTGTCCATATGAGTTCTAATGCAACCAAAATGAATTCGAATTCCTTGTTAGACATGTATTATGGAAAATTTGTCATCGTCCTCGTATGTTTTAACTGAGATAGCTCTATTGATATAAGCAACTAGCAAAAAGTATGATCTATTGTCTATCATGTGCATTTTTGCATTAAGTTACAAGTTAATTTTAAGCTGGACTCCCACAGAACAAAAGTTGTCTTCAAATAGCGCACAACTTTTCTCGAACTTATCATAAGTTATAACTCAATGCTTCCATCAATGAGACATCAGATCTATAATGACATATTCACATCAGTGGTGTGACTAATATGCGAACAAAGGCGGAGATGAGAGCTAGAGTTAGAGCAAGGAAGATTTTACAATTTGTTTTAATTTTTTAAAAAATTTATTTTGTGCAACTTACCATATCTTGTTTATTCTATTTTAATTTTTTCTTTTACATGAATAAATTTGTTAGTTAATGATGTGTCATAAAATGGGAATAATTAGGCATTTTAATTGTGTTTATCTATTAGAATGTTTAATGGTCCGGTTAGTTCGCTGATTTGAGTTTTTAATTTGAGTTGAGATGTGACTTTATGTGAGAGCTTTTTACTGTAGCAAAAAAGTTAAATGTAACTGTTTCTGAGAACTTTTTACTGTAGCAAAACTCAAATTCTAAACTCGAATTGGTAAAATGAACGGGGTCTTAGAATATTTGAATTTATGGTTGTGATTATTATTTAGGATTTATCTACATTGTTTGATTATGTTTATCTTATTATTAAATTTTAGGAGTCTGAACTATCAAATCTGCAACTTATTCTAAACTTGGGTGGAGTATTGTGTCATTTTACAATGTAGGGGGCAGGTTTAATTACCTTATTCTTCGGGACTAAATTCGTAATTAACCTTAAACTACAATTGAATTAAAGGACGAGATCGATTATTTTGAAGTATGCCCACTGTTAAAAGATGGGAAAAGTTTGAGAAGAGAAAAAAATGGCAATCCTTTTCAATTTAAGACCAAACTCTGAACACTCTCGAATAATCGGTTGTCCCTTTACAATGAAATTTTCATGGAAAAAAAAAATGTGATAAGTAGCCCCGAAAAAAGAAGAACGAAAAAATAAGAAAGAAAACATGGTCAAGGAACAAAAAAACTAATTCCAAGACGCATGTACAAAAAATTTCAAACAGATATAGAACAGAGATCATCGAAAACTTGTCTGATGTTAGGCCTCTCATTTACAGGGAGAATACACCTGAGTGATATTGCAAGCACTTGATCCATTGCTTTGGAGGGTTCTTCCCCAGCGGCAATGTCTCTGTCAATGCAGTCCATTCCACGTCCTTCTTGATCACAAAGTCGAACCCAATCTGTAAGATCAACTGCACCCGACTGGCCCGAAATGATATCACCAGCACTTCTTCTGGTTAACAATTCCATCAGGATCACACCAAAAGCATAAACATCAGCCTTGAATGAGGGAATTGGTTTGGCTGCAGAGGCAAGTTCAGGAGCTCGGTAGCCAAGTGCTCCCATATTTAGTATCTGCTCCGCAATGCCCACTGGTGTCATTAGGCGGTGCAGGCTGTAATCGGTAAGACGAGCCTCGTAGTCAGGGCCAGCAAGGAGTATATTGGTGGGCTTTAGATTCCCATGTGGAAGGCCTCTATCATGAAGGAATAACAGACACCGCGCAACATCCACTGCAACTTTTAGTCTCTGATTGAACAATAATGGAGAGTACCGCCGTGGTGTGGTCTCTGCGTACAATATATATTGATGAAATATTCAGAAACTAAGACAAAAGGCAAAAACTCCTGCATACAAAAAAGTGTAAAGCATGTCTAAATCAGGATTGCCCGGCTACTGTACATTTTTAAACCCAGAAACTCTTACAAAATGTTGCAGCCCAGCAGCACTAGCCACTAGGGCAGCTAAGAAAATGATACTTGTTAGTCGGCCGACATTTGGTGGACAATCAGACACTCTCCCTTACAAAACAACCAACGTATCAACACTTCTCTTGCTATCTATTTAAAACTCATCTGCCTGTATATCTATGTTACGTCAAATCTCAAGTCCTAAAGGAGTCCATGCCTGTAATGACCCTACTGCATAGATGAGCAATCTTATGGACAGATCCCCGATTCCTCCATACTTTACAAGATGAGCAAAATTATGAACGGATCCCAAATTCATACAAAACTATATATGTTTTCCACCACAAAAAAAAAAAAAAAAAAAAAAAAAAAAAAAAAAAAAGACTATGAGCAGGCATGCCCTCTCTCAAAAAACATTGTATATCCTAGCTTCAATTCTTTCACCAAGACATTTGAATTTTAGATTTGTATAAGCTGAAAAGGGAAAGATCATGCTGAAACAACAGCTAATAGAAAAGAGATTTTCTGATATTAAAAGTAGCCTTCTCATAATCCACTAAAAGAATGAATTCAGGGATCTTTATCTTGATAATATGTTGATATAGAGGCCTTTTTTTGGGGTGAAAATCGTATGTTGATATACTTGAACAATGCACCTAACATGAACCAAAGAACACAACACAAATGCAGAAACAATTAGCAAAGATGACTTTATTTATACACGTAACAAAACTTGACGGTGCAGACCGACACACATACTAAGTTCAATGACCTAAAGGCAAAAGGCCTAATTCTATCTGGCACCAAAATTATGTCGAACAAAATTATGAAAACTAAATTTATGCAATATTGAAATAACAAAAAAAAAAAAAGGAATAAGAGAAGAAGAATATGTAGAGTAGAGACATCTTTTAAACTTTTGGATATCAATGTACACCATAACTGAGTTAAATGTGAAATAAAGATAATATCCAATCCAGTTACTTGGCAGTAAGAAAACTTAGTAAGGTACATTATTGATACAACAACATCATCAAATATAAAAAGATTTCCAGTCTTACCGTAAAGATGCAGGGCCAAACTATCTCCCTGAATATAATCCGCTAAAAGAAGCCTCTCTTGTTCTCTGGGTCCCCAATAGTATGCCCTCAACGGAACAATGTTTGGATGCCTCATGGAACCAATCCTCTTGACTTCTCTGGCAAATTCTTTCTTGTGTTTGACCAGTCCTACCCGTAACCATTTCACTGTCAACATATGCCCACTATCTAGAGTAGCTTTATAGAGAGTTCCATGGCTACTTCTGCCAAGAACTTCTGCTGGAGCTCGAGAAAGTTCCTCAGCTGTGAATGCCAATGAAGCATCCAGGAAGGACAACTCACCAGCCAATCTATCTGGTGAATACACATCCAATATTGCAGGTTGTTCACCCACTTCGATAAAACGAGGAGAGGAAGATAATGGGGAACCTGGAGAGGATTTCCTTCCAGAAGTTGCAGGGTGATTATCTACAGGATTCATGGAACCTGAGGTAGTCGCTACTTCCCGATGTGAAACGGGGTCTGCAACTTCAGTTACAAAATCTGTCTGCCCAGATAATGACCCTGATTTTGACGTTAATAAATGATCATGAGAAAAACTCAATGAAGAAGTTGGTGGAGCCTGAACATTAGAGGTGAACTTCAAAAACGAAGGCCGAGTAAAACTTCCTAATTTCACATCCCTCCCTGTAGTTTGACCTCCAAATCCACTTCTCCAGTGGAATTCTTTAAGCTGTGAACGGTGATAAGCAAGTAAAACAAAAACTATCATAAAAGCAGCTCCAAGGGATGCAAGAATAATTGCTACTCTAATATTACTCTTTGAACTGTGAGTTTTCCTTTGATTAGAAACCTGATCTGGTACAGAATTTAATTTTGGCATACCCGGTAAGTTCAGCAATTCATTTCCAGGACGAAATGAACTCATAGGGAAGTTTCTCAAATTTTCAGGAACAGATCCCCTTAGGTCATTGTAGGACACATTAAATACAGTCAAGCTGGATGGAAGATTATCTGGGATTTCACCACTGAATTTATTGTCAGATAAATCAAGGTACTCCAACTTACTAAGCTTGTGCAACTCCTTTGGTATCTGCCCGACAAAGCCATTCTTTGCAATATCAAGTAATTTGAGATTGATCACGTTACCCAATTCTGTAGGCAGAGAACCCGATAAAGAATTCCTAGAGAGATCGAGATATTCGATCAGTGGACTTGAAGGTAAATACAGTAATTCACTAACACGGCCTCCTCCCATGGAAATTGGTCCTGTAAAATGGTTTCCCGAAAGATTCAAAGACATTAAGCTCCCAGAACTGAAGAAAGTACTGGGAATACGCCCAATAAATTCATTTGAACTGAGGTCAACGGTAGACAGTTTAGGACACGCCTCCAATATAGAAGGCAAAGTACCTCCTAACGAATTATTTCTTAGATTAATTGCAGTCAATCTCTCAAACGGTGAAGTTAAGTTTGGAAAGCTTCCAGATAACGTGTTTGAACTCATATCAACAAACTCTAAAGGAGCTTCCCAGTTCTGAATAACGGATATGTCACCAGAGAACATATTGCTGCTCAAATCCACCACTACACAACTACTCAGCACTGTGGGCAATGTGCCAGACAAACTGTTGGATGAAAGGTTTAATAACTGCAAGCTTGTAGAGTTAATCCCAAGAAGTGAACCTGTAAATACAAGCAAAAAACATCAGTTACCTGAAATATAGCAAAGACGCTCAGTTATATGGAAGATGACTGAGTTCACGTCTGTACTGTACAGATTTGACAAGATCTTTAGCAGGAAAAAGAAAAAAACAACAGAAAAGAAAAGTGGGTTTGCACCAAAAGGCAAAGAATTTTCCTCAGGGACGAATTTTCATTGATGATGCACAATTTGTCTAATTTTTCTTCCCACCTATAAATAAAAGCTTGAAACAGTTTTTGACCAAGACACTTGTTAACAGAAGATCCTATATCTGGTATTAGGTTTATGTATAAAATTAACATGCAAACGCATGTAACATACACACATTCAAAAGGATTTAAAAGGTCATAATTTTCAAAAAGCTAGGACCTACTCTAATTAATTAACGCATCCACACAAGAGTACACGAGCATTAAGACAAAATTTGAACAACAAAAGTAGTCCAGTCTCAAGCTTTCGCTAATTAAAAAGAAAGAAAAATTTGGATGTGAAAATGAAGGTCAATTCTTAACCTGTAAATCCATTGTTACTAAGATCCAATTCCACCAACGGTATAGAACTCTCCATCAACTCCTCTGGAATCAACCCGAACAACTGGTTCTTCCCAAGCCTCAAAACCCGCAAATTCGGCAAAGGCCCAAACGAAGGAAGCTCGCCGCTGACCTGATTATTCCCCAAATCCAGAACTTCCAAGTTGCGAAACAACTTAATAGCATCGCTTTTGAAAAATCCGGCACTCAAATTATTATGACTCAAGTTCAAATAATGAACGGTGTTTGCCAAGCCGGAGACGTTCTCGAGAGAAACGGAAATGGAGCCGAAGAACTCGTTGCGACTCAAATCGACTCGCTCCACATTGCGCAGCTCCGGCAAGAGATCGGCAATGTCGCCCCACAGCTGGTTGGAGTGCAAATCCAGAACCTTCATCTGCTGAAGATTCGTAAACCCGCTTGGAAATCCACCCTTGAATTTGTTCTCGGCCAGATTGAGGTACTTCAAATCCCAGAGATTACTGATCCGCTGCGGGATCGGGCCGTAGAACTGGTTCCTCGATAGATCCAAATGCTGAAGCGAGGTCATCGTCCCCAATGCCGGCGCGACCCGGCCGGAGAATTCATTCCCGGCGAGGCTCAGATTCCGGAGCTTTCCAAGGCCGGTGAGCGTGTGGAACTTCAATTCTCCGCCGAGGCCGAGGCCCTCGAGGACCAAGGCGGTGACATTGCCGTTCTCGTCGCAGACGACGCCGGTCCACTGCGGGCAATCGGAGACGCTCTGCAGAGAACTGGAGCTCCATGTGTCCAGAACCTTCCGGAGTGGGTCGACATGGATCCCCTTCTTGAACTCGAGCAGCGATCGGAGCTCCGAGTCGGAGACGGAAGAGACCGAGACGACCAGAATCAGGAGGAGAAATGGAACAACGAGATTCATCTGGAAACCCTAATGATTCATTGAATGAGAATCGAGAAATGGCCGGTAATGGCGATCGTGCGCGCGCCTTAGAGTGAGAGAGAGAGAGCAGAGTTCTGGAAACCCTAGATTGAGAGAGCTCTGGCAGAGAGAGAAAGAGAGGTTAGGGTTTTTTTATACCCAAGGAGCAACACAAGAGGAGAGAATAGTATTTAGAGAGAGAAAGAGAAAAGGAAAATCCGTTAAAAATGGCGGTTCTGTCTGTCAGGTGGACAGTGCTGGTTGGTGAAGCTGAGTAACTACAGTCTGTAAAGGACTCACTCTCTCCTCACTCTCTCTCTACTTTCTCTCTCTAACAGATGAGAGAGAAAGTGATGACCCACTCACATGGAGGATAACGCCAACTTAACGCCGTTAAATTTGGGGATTTTTTTTTTAATTTGTTTTTTTCTTTGGATGGGGACAAGCTCACAGACAGCAAGCCGATCAAGTGGAAATGTCAACGTTACTTGGGAGATTTCGAAATTTTCCATTAATGGCCAACTTTTGGGTGAAGTTTAGTAATTAATTGTGTTTTTGCATTTATTCTGAGATTTTACGCTTCTTCTTCGGAGCAATTCAAATTTGAAGCCTTTTTTTAAGGGAAAATTATATGTTTTTTCCCTTCAAAAAAAAAAAGAAAGAATACATGTTTTTTTTGTCTTATTATGAGTAGGTTAGTACTTTAGTGATAAAGGAGCATGAAAATCGTGCGTTGATAATACAGTATATAATGTTGTATCACATAAAAGATTTAACATTATTATAAACATAGTAACAAATTTATATACATGCAGTATTAGAATCCAAAATATATTTATATATACATTATAAAACAGATTTGATATTATTACAAACATATTAACAAATATATACACAATCCAAAATATATTTATATAGTAACATCTATCGGATCAATTGTGATGTCTTCTTTAACTGCAAGATAGGAATGTTAAGGAACCAAAATTAGTGACAAAAATATTTAAATAGGTTGATAAACTTTTAAGACAGATAATGTATAATGGAATATCTAAAAAAATTAATATTACTTTGTCTTTTCTTGAAAGTTCTGTTGATTTTGATTTAGAGTTGAAATTGTGAAATATTATTTAGATATATATTTAAAACAACTTAGAAGATATTTCATAGTAAGCATATTTTACCTTATGCCTAATCTTTTCAGAATTGGAGTTTGTGGATTAATTTTTATTGGAGATGATATTAGTGATGTTGTTGTTTCTTTAGGACTGAAATGATCATAAAGTTTTTTTTTTGTACGTATTTATTTGGAACAATTAAATTTTGTTTTTGACATATTTAATATAAATTAATAAATTTTACTTGCCTTTGTATATCGGAAAGTGCTGCTGTTGGTAAATTTTTTGGCACTGAAGGAGCTTGGATGTCTTCAAAGATTCTAGATGCAACAATCGTTATTTGGTGTCCCCTTTATTGAAAATATACTTGGAAGATTTTTATTTATCCACGAAGCAGATTGATGACTAGCGGGATTACAAATGGATATGTGAAGCCTTCGTCAATGGTTAACGCAGTACATGATCTTTTTATTAGCGCATGTATTGTTCTGCCAAATACGGTAATGTTTATGTCTTCGGTATTATCTTCAATTTCAATGTTTAATTTGTACCTATAATATACATATTTACAGTTAGTAAATGTGATAATTAATTTATTGTAATTGATGAGAATAAGTAGAAATTTAAAGTTTTTTGTAAATATTATGAAATATCATCATCACCAAGAAAGAGTAAAAGGTTTAAAAAAGCTAGACTCTTAAGAAGGGAAAAACTATACATATACATATATATATATATATAACACTGTACAATGACTAATAACACTTCATACTCTCTTTTTAGAATATGTGTAATTTGATTTTGAATCGCTAGCACGCAATCTGCCTCAAATAAACAAAATAGAAAAGGGAACATTATTATATAATAAATACTTATCACGATAAATACACTATACAAAAGAAAATAAATCCAAATAGTCTTTATAATATACTTAGGTTAATAAATGCAGCATATAGACCTTTTCCATTATTGTATAAAAGAAACATTGCTGTCAAATCATTCAGTTCAACAAGTAGCAAAACAAATCAATTTATACTCACATATATATAACAAAAATAAGATTCAGTTATCAATTTTAGTATCAACAAAACATAAACAAAGCAAGTAAATATTCATTATTTACTTGGTTCAGGTATTTATCTCCTAATCTTATCTATATATACATATATATATATATATCATATGTAACGAAAATAGGGCCTAGCAACGTACTTGACTGCCATCTAAGTTATTACAAGATTTATGCCGAACATCAAAAGAGAAAAGTATCGATTAAATTTTTTACTTACACGGAAATTACAAAGTAGACACATATAAGAACAAATAGATAAGTAAAAACGTCTTGACAGATTGATGAAGTTGAACTACTAAAGGATGCAGATCATTCAATATAAAATACAGAGCAAATTTTGGAGAATGATATATAAAAATGAGTAAAAAGTGTTACAAAAACATTAACCTCAAGGCGAATAAAGTACAAATTCAATATAAAATAACACTAAAACTTAACAAATAAAAATAGTAATAGGTAAAGGCATAAAACTAAATTAACTCGGACAGTATTAAGAACAGTCAAGTCTCTATTAACAGTCACGTGATATATACTTATAGTAAGAGATAAATACATCATCATAACTAAAAAACAGTAAAGGGTTTAAAAAAGGTAAACTGTTGAAGGAAAAAGAATTAAAAATATATATGTATATACATAACATATAGCTAAATAACAATTATGAAAATAATATAAGCAGTAAACGACTACATAAAAAGAAAATTGAGAAAGCATATAAAAAAAGATAAAAAAAAAATTTAACAAATAAAATCATGTAACAAATGGCTATAACGTTATAAAGCACTTATTTAAAACAGTTAGGAAACACATATAAATACTATAAATATATTACCTTTGTGAAAGAAGGATATTGAACAAAACAGACGTAACAAAAGACCAAATGTTGCAGATGAAAGAGAGGCATACAAAACAACCCAACGTTAAAAACTCAGTAACAGAAAGGTATTAACAGAATATCCAAGACGCAATAGAAATAGTAAGAAAAGTCCAATACCAATAATATTCTGAAACTGTAAGAAAACATATAGGGGTAAGAATGATAGAATGTAATATATGAATAACGATTATAAAATATAGACCAATATATATACATAAAGTGACTAAAATCATAATGGAAGACCGATAGAAAATCATCCAAATAAATATCAATTAAAGTGATGATTATATTATGGCATGTGTCATGAAGCATGAATTGCACCGCATAATATAACCAATAAAGAACAAACAGTAAAAAATCAAATTTCGATTAAATAGAACTAAAGATAATGATATATACGTGTCAAAACATAATACTAAGAAATTTCACTCAATCTTTGATACAAACTGTTAGAAAACAAAATCAATTAGAATAATAAATATATTACGGCAGGTGTCATAAGGCATGACTTTCTTAACATATTTTTTGGATTAAAATGATTGAAATACGCCATCATTTAAATATTGAGGTGTCGGATGGAATATAGGTAGTAGAACATTATAATGCATAATAATACAAAAAAAAAAAAAAAAGTAAGTAAAGTCTCTTTTACAAATTTAATATAACAGAAAATAAAGTTTTGTTCCAATAGAATGTTAACGATTTATTACAAATTTAAAACAATAAGGAAAGGAGAAGATAATTGAGTGAGGAATGAGGATTGAGGAAGGACATATTGGGATTTTTGCCACCTTTTAGATTAGATCTGACACTTCATATTAGAATAAGACTTCCGAAATCAAATGCTAATTAGTTGTTGTTTTTTATGGATTTTATTAATATAGTATATCTGTATTAGTATAATAATGTTTGTTTAGGATTATCTGCCTTCAATATGCTTTTTAATAATTGCAAATACAATCAATTGTCAAAAGCGTTGTTTCTATATAAGAAAATCAATTATTTTACAAAGCAAAAATAATAATAACAAATTATTCACAAGTCCAGCAATAAAAAAAAATGAAATGTTTTTTTTATACAAATTGTATAATCACTGTAGGTGTCACAATTTCTTTACGAATTATTTTTATACATACCCACTAAAATATGTACATTATTTCAAAGTATCGTTAATTTTTCAAAGCAATATAATATATCTTTTAGTTTATAGAAAACATGTTAAATTATTTATTTTGTCTATAATTTTAACGGTTTTACTGACATGATTTACCATTAAAAATTAACTGTTGACATAGGCATTTCATTGAAAATTAACTAAAGCCATTAGCTCCGTTCACTTCGCTGATTCGAGTTTAGAATTCGAGTTTTTCTACAGTAAAAAGCTCTCACAAACAATCACATCTAATTTTTTTGCTATAGTAAAAAGCTCTCACATAAAGTCACATCTCAACTCGAATTCTAAACTCGAATCAGCGAAGTGAACGGGACATTGTTTAAAAATGATCAAAAATTTAAAAGATAATAAAGAATAAGGCATAATTCATATTACCAATTTGAATTTTCAGTTTTAAGTTTTTACAGTTAAAATTTTTTAAAAAATATCACATTTAATTTTTTTTGTTATAATTTAAAACTCTAAAAAAATATCATATCTCAGCTCAAATTAAAAATTTAAATTTACGAAGCTAAGCAGGCCTAAATGAAAAACTTGATTTCAAAAAATAATATTGAAAAATAAATCTCATCGATTCCCTTGCCCCTTACAAAAACCCTAACTCCTTCCTTCCTCCCTCAGCCGCCTCTCCTTTTCATCTTCATTCTTTGGATCTCGTCGACTTGAGCTCGTGAGTGCGAGAGGCCGGTTAGATTCACGAGGCCATGTTTTCATGAGGCAGATCTGCTTTACTAGGGTGGGCAGAGCTCAAAACATCGTTGGGATTAGGAGGTTTCCAACGACGACTATGTTGACAGCGATTAGGGAGTTTTTGCTGCTCATAATGGCGGCGGTACGACGGTGGTGGCGAAGAAGCCATAGGTGACGGTGGCGGAGGCGGCTTTGAAGATCAACATGGATGATCTTGATCTTTTCTTGCTGATATTACCATGGGTAATTTGGATGATTCGAATTCTTTTTCTCGCCAATCCATTCGTTTGCATTTTATTCCCACTAGATTGTT